CAGGACCGAGGGATTTAAGAATAGCTACAAGGCCAGTGGGGGACGGGGGGTTGTCCGTGGGCTGGGCTAGACCGAGGCCGTGAAGGAGTTAAGTCAGAAGACAAAGCCGCATTCCCCTGCTTTGCGCTGACCAAGCGCTGCATCTGTTAATCTCACTGGAGACGGAGCCACGTGCCTCCCCAAACGCTCCCAAATACTTTCCGTGCTGCATCAGATCTTAATTCACGCGGTGGGGCGGCCCAGGGGCGGGGCGGGGGCCGTGAAGGAGTTAAGTCAGAAGACAAAGCCGCATTCCCCTGCTTTGCGCTGACCAAGCGCTGCATCTGTTAATCTCACTGGAGACGGAGCCACGTGCCTCCCCAAACGCTCCCAAATACTTTCCGTGCTGCATCAGATCTTAATTCACGCGGTGGGGCGGCCCAGGGGCGGGGCGGGGGATGCACCGGCCCGTTCTCCCAGCCCCCGTCCAGGGTTCTGCAGCAGAGGGACCCCGGAGACGCCATCCCATGGGTGCTGACACAGAGCTGCTTCGCCCAGGCTCTTAGCCCCACCCCTGTGGGCGCAGCGCCCGGGCTGGCTGCGCACAGGTGCACGTCCTCACAGGCTTGCAGGAGGGAGAAGGGTTCGCCATGAACGGCTCCTTCTCCCCGCTGGGTCCTGGAGATGGAGTGCGAGTCAGGCAAACACGCAGGGAGAGCACGAAACCTGCCATCCCCACGCGAACAGCACCCGGACACCGTGCAATAGGGAAGCCAGGGTAAGTGGCCCAGTGGAGGGGGAGGAAGCAGTCGACACAATGGACCTTGACTTTCACAAGGCTTTTGGAAGTCCCACATGAGGTTCCCATAAGCAAACTAAGGACCTGCAGAGCCCGGCTGTTGGACAGATCGGACTTGGTGGGGTCTGCAGAGGACACCAAGCTGGGAGGAGCTGCAAGCGCCTCGGAGGAGATTAGCATTCAGAACAAACTAGAGAATTGGTCTGAAACCAGGAAGATGAAATTCAGCGCAGACAAATGCAAAGTACGTCAGTTGGCAAGGAAACCATTCAAATGCCCAGCTGGGGAAATAACCCGCTTGGCGTTATTATGGACCTACCCCACCTCCCTGCCTTCAGCTGAGGAAGCTGGTGTTGGTATCACTGCTGAAAAGGACCTGGGGGTTCTAGCGAATCACACACTGCATCCAAGTCAACAATGCGATGCAGCTGCAGGCACGGCTGAACCCGTTCCAGGGTGTATGAAGAGGCGTGTCACACGTAAGACGCAGGAGGCAAGTGTCTCGCTTTACCCTGCCCGGCTAGGGGCTCAGCTGTGTCTAGCTCCAGGCACCGCACTTTAGGCAAGATGCGGACAAGCTGGAGAGAGCCAGAAAAGAACAGAACTGAGCGAAGGGCTAGAAAACCTGGCCTGGGAGGAAAAGGAAAG